CTGCCCAACTCAAGGACAAATTAAGGGGCACAAGGGTACCCCTAATTTACATTTCTGGCTTGAGGTCAGAGGGATCTTACAACAATTAATCTCTAGTCTACTGTGCCTCCTCACCTCTATACCCTTCCCCTGGTCAACCTTTGAGTCACTCCTGCCATCTGCTTGTGTATGAACACAGGCTGCAGCTGATATAGGAAGTAGAGTGGATGCATTCATTATCACTAGGGCAAAGGATGGAAAATATTTTTTATAAAGAATATGTGGTAAAAACTTAAGGCAAGTTTGTAACCTCAAATCTGTTTAAAATAAGGGAAGTTGCAAAGCTATGCTGCTCAAGAAACATAGAGAATGAACTATGATTCTGAGAATTTCTATCTGGACCCTGGTCCTCGTCTTCCCTGTCCCTTCCCCCTGGAGAGAAAGCTGCTAACAGGACAGCTGGTCCCTTTCTGCTGGTCAGCATGTCCATGTGGTGGAATCAAGGCTCACTCCATGCTGGCCCCTGGCCTTGTCTACCTACTCCCCAGTCACAGAAACTGGGGGATCAGCAACTTTAAATGTTTTACCCCCTGTGCTGTGTGATCTAGGTAAGCTGTGCAGGCTGGTAAGGCAGCACTGTGTTCCCTCATGTAGACACATTGGGCAAATTGGACAAAGATCAACCTTGTCCATAAACTGTTACACATTTGCAAAATGGGTTGTGTATAGGGTGACCATATGTTCTATTTTCACCAGGGCAGTCCTGTCTTAAACACCTGTCCCAGGCCTCCTGTCAGTTTGGTCAAGCTGATGCTTTTCATTGCATAAAATAATATTTATTATTTATAAAAAACAAACCAAAACTAAACTAAACAAAATAAACCCCCTCTACTTTATTTTTTCCTGAAGATTAGATACAAAATCACAGGAAAAATAAACATCCCAGGCCAGAAACATTGTTTATACAATTGCTTATGGGTATCCTGCAACCCTTAAAATCAATGACATGTTTGTGATTTACTTGAACAGCACCAGGTTCAGGACCTACTTTTTCAATATACATTATATATATATATATTTTTTTTTTAACTATCTAAGCAAAAAATGTGCTATGCAAACCATAAAACTGAGTTAATTGTTTTAGTGAGCAGGATGGAGCTATCTGCTGTTTTATTGGTTGGTATAGTGGGGTGGAAGGCATGCTGTGTAGTTAGGTGCCTTTGCTAAACTAAAAAAGAACATGGCATTTTTGTCCCTTTAAAATAGTTTATATTTTTCCCTTTTCTTGAAGATAAAACTGTTTTGTTTAGGTTATTTCTTAGCAGTTGAAATAAGAGGAAGGATGCTTTTGTGGTTAATGTGTGGTTATGGCTCTGAAAAGTGACAATAAGATGACAATCTCAAGTTTTGTTTGTGTGGAAGTGAGAGAGAATATTGGATATGGTCAGCTGAGAAGTAAAAATTGAATTTTTTTTTTTCTAATTGTCAGCCACGCAAGCTTGAAATAGGAAAATCAGCCTATGTTGTTGTCATGTGTCTTGCCAACAAAGAAACAATTGGAGCTTACAACTAGAAAAATGGGTATAAGGGACCCCAGGAGGTCATCTAATCCAACTCCCCACACAAGACAGGATCATCCCTTTCTGAGGCAGATCAGCTACGTGTTTGTCTAAACCAGTAGTTCTCAACTTTTTCAGACTCAAGACACCACTCACTAGACTCAATACACCCCTCAGAAAATGCAGCTCTTAGTTTTCACTTGTTTTTCTGACTACGGAAAAATAATAGAGCATTTTTTTTCTGTTGCGAAGAATTCAGACCACAACGGATCAAAATATTTTTAACACTATGAATTCCTATTTGAAATCTCTGTGAATATCTTGTGAATGGTGTGCAAACCTATCAGTGTGAATGTTGCCTGGCACTCTGCAACACTCTTGAAAGGATCTTAAATCAACCCAGGGTGTCATGGTGCGCTGGCTGAGAATCACTGGTTTAACCTGCTTTTAAAAACTTCCAGTGGTGGAGATGCCACAACTTCTCTCAATAACAATTCTGTTGATTAACATATGAGCCAGATCCAGTCCATTCAGTCTTATCTCTGCTGGGTTCTGTGGGGTATGAGGAGTGAAAAGAAATAGTTACAAATTTATTATCACTAAAATCAGGGGATTCCATTCTGAATTCGTACATACAGCAAAGAAGCAGCATTTTTGCATAAGGATATTTCTGTAAGACTTAAGGTATTAGATTGGGCTGGGGATCTATATCTCTCAGTTCCGAAATCCTTGAACATGAAATAGAAATGGCTGGAGGGCAAAAATGGCTTTAGTCCATTTTTTAATTCCACATATTTTGGCCTCAGTGTATGTTACATAAATCTTGAGACTGGACAGGTATTCAAACAATTACAGGGAGGCCTCACCTGTGCAAAGTATATTTTTAAGGGGCTTTGTGTACCATTCCCTGTCAAATTAATTTGGAAGGTCTAATGTAGAGCTCTAATTTTAATTTAGACCTCTACATTTCAATCCCAGTTCTACTAGAAATTGCACCAGAAATTGTTATTCTTTTCAGGTATGCACAATAAGATGATCTATATCTTTAACGTGGCACTGGTTTGGCTGTTGGTTTCTGTAGAATACTCTTGTGGTTTTCTCTGCTGCCTGTCTGCTTGATCTGTTGCTAGTCCCAAAAATATGGGAGTACACTGGTTTCATCTGAAATCTGGACTCTGACTGAATTTCCTTCATATCTATGATCTAATTTAATTATTTCTAAATGCACATATAATGTGAAATAAATGTATATAGCATTTAATGTTTCTTTTATTATTAATGGTGAAAACTATGAAATAATGTGACGATTAGTTAATTTGGAGTTGAAAGGGCAACACTACCCCATAGACAAAAAATGAATTGTAACCAGAGTACACAGGGATATGCAGAGATAGGAAAAAACAAAAGAAGTTTGCCTTGGCTTTTTTATTTTGAAATCATACTCTTGACTTCTATGCATCATGGAAATATTTTTAATAGTGACCAAAAAGCGGTGCCAATCCAGTGAACTCATGGGGAACATCATTAATGCAGAGATGGAGTAGCAAGGAAGAATCATACAAAATGAGGGTTGGAAGGGACCTCAGGAGGTCATCTAGTCCAACTCCTACTCAAAGCAGGACCAGCCCCACTTAGATCATCCCAGCCAAAGCTTTGTCTAGCCAGGTCTTAAAAACCTCCAGGGATGGAGTCTCCACCACCTTTCTGGGTAACCTGTTCCACTGTTTTACTACCCTCCTAGTGAGATTTTTTCCCCTAATATCCAACCTAAACTTCTCTTCCTGCAACTTGAGACGGTTGCTCTTTGTTCTGTCATCTGCCACCACTGAGAACAGTTTAACATCCTCTTGTGAACCCCCCTTCAAGGGAAACAGAGGAGTAAGAAATAGAACACGAAGAAAAGAGCGTTGGCAGTGGGAATGTGACAAGAAACACTGCTGTTCCCAGATAAGAAGGGGAGGTCTTCAAAGGTGGTGGAGGCCAGCACTAAAGGTTGAAAGCTGAGGCAGCGTTAAAGGCAGTGGTTCTCAACGTTTTTAGACTTGAAGCATCCCTGGTCAGACTTGAGGCATCCCTCAGAAAATGCCAGTGCTTAGTTTTCACCTGTTTTGTGACTACAGAACAATGCAAGAGCAATTCTTCTGTTGCAAAGATCTCAGGAAGCCCACAGCAGGGCACAGTGGTGGTGATGCCACGGATTCCTATTTTAAGTTTCTGGGTTGATCTTGCAAACCCTGTGTGTATGCCAGCACTAACGTGACACAGCACGATGGCACCCCTGAAAGGATCTCTGGGCACCCCAGGGTGCTGCGACCCCCTGGGTGAGAAGCATCGGCGCCAGGGGCCGAGCAAGGGGTGTTGCTCTATCGGTGCTTGTGCAGGATGGGCGAGGAACAGGAGATTTTAAGTAACATCTTTCCCTGGGGGCTTGGCTTCTGAAGAAACCCGGCCTGGCTTTTCCCTTCTCCCCGCGGCGGGAGGGGAGTCTCCGGCGGGGGTTTCGCGGGGGCTCCCCACACTCTCCCCCTGTAGCAACAATGCACGTGTGACCATCGCCCGACACGATCGTGATCAGATTCCGCTCCGGGCGGCAGCTTCGCTGGAAAAAGCAGCCACACTTTTCCATACGGCTCTTTTAAGGCGGCTTTGCCAGGCGGCTCTTTTAAGGCGCGGGGGGGGGCGCGATGCTGCTGGCAGCAGCCGCCCGCTGTCTAGGCGCCCTCCCACGCAGCTCCCGCCCAGGGCGCGGTCTGGCAACCGCACGATTGTCCCCAACATGGAGGTGCGGGCGGCTCGCATAAACCTCCGGCGCACCGGCACGGCGAAGGGGAGGGGAAGGGGAAAGGGGCGGTGCCACTCGACGTGGCCCTTCTCTACGCACCTGGAGGCCACCTCTATGATCCGGCGGGGTTCGCGAGAGGGGGAGGCACGAGCCCAGGCGGGCTGAGGGGGCGGGACCGGGGGCAGGGCCAGGCGGCTCTCCGCGGCCGTTGCGCTCAGACGGGCAGTTCCCCACGGCTCCCCTTTGTGTCTGGGCCGGGCTCGGAGCTGCTCCGTGCGAGGGGCGACGCCTGCGGCCCCCTCCCTACCCCCCGCCCCCCC